TGCATTTGTCGTTTTTATGGTTTACAAAAGAGAAGTCAAACCCTTCAAACATAGTTTTGGACATAGCTATAGTTTTAGACTACCTTTCATTATAATTATGTAGATTTTAGTTATTTTACACTCTGTTCCAGTGTTCTAATATGCTTGTAATTTGCAATTAGCCTCCGGGCATGAATTTGCAATAAACTTCTCTATATATTGTGTAACGTTACAGTAAGGATAGCTACATTCGAATATTACATGCTATAGATTTTCACTATTGTCAAGATTGTTGTATTCTTTAACAATACTATCAGTAATACTGTTAGGTAGGAAAACATCGGACGTATTCAGTTTACCTCTAGAATTCGAAGTCTACATTTGGGCTGCAAGTGACGCAGAGATACGGTATTGTTCGGATATGCTTTGTTTGAAAACAACGGGTGAACATGACCAAGAAACCAGCGATGCGCCCTCTTACAATGGACAGGATATTTGGACTCGGTGTTCGGAGCACAAAGAATGGTCGCCATTTCTCTTGGACGTCATCTTGCTCTGTGTTCCTGTCAGGACTAGATTGTTCGAGGGAAAAAGAAAATAAAAGGTGCAGAAAGTTAGAATTCTACGAATGTGAGGAACTTGAGTTGCTTGTAATGTTGGTTTCCTTCTTGTTTCTTGGATTTCTGGTACACAATGCTTACCTTAAGTAACCTGTTTTATTGCTTGTATGAAGAGCCTTTTAAAACATCAATGGGTATTTCTTCTAAGTTGACTCGTACGATTTAAACCGTACTCTTCTAAACGTTATAAACTGGTTCCACTTTTTTGCATCAATGAATTGTAAAAATGTCAAATGATTTACTTATATTATCTGTTATCTATTATACAGAATTTTAGTTGACCATTTCACTGTTGATGCCATCTGCCTTCTTAAAATGTTTATCAACAGCTTGAAGACGTTGAGACTGGTGTTTTAAGAAGTCCATTAGTTTCTTTACCCGGGCAAACATCTTGCTTTAATGCAGGGACAATACGTTGTTGAACCCGCTATCGTTCTAATTGCCTCTCGGGGCTATACACACGCGTAAAGGCGTGAACCTTCTTGTTCGATTGTCCGGGGATAACAACTTCGCCAAACAAGCTCCGGCTTTTTTTTCTGAAAAGTTGGTTGTGGCTGAGGTTTTAATCTGTGTACAAACTGCTTAGGTTTTGTGCAAACTTCGCTGTTAAAACTCCGGTTTTGTCCCGGCCACGTGGGACGTTAAGAGTTCTCCCCAACCACAAACAACCTGTTCTTATTGACCAACAGATATGCTGTGATCGCTTCCGTCTGTGTGTGGGGCATATTTTCTCCGAGTTGTAGCTTTGCAGACGGGATCTCTTGTATAGTACTTATGTCCTACTCTGTAAGAGGGAACTGGACCACTTAGCCTTTTGAGTTCGGAAGGAGGGATTCGCAAGCGGGGAGGGAGATAGGGCCGAAAAGCGGATTACAAGGGCAGGAATTCGGGAGTAGAGTTACGCGGCTCTGCCAATCTGGATTTTGGCTTTCCGCTCCATATCCCGTGAACCGGCGGGGCTTCCTGGGGGCGCGGGCTGAGAGTACGCCCAGGAGACAAGCCGGCGACACCGCCAGATTTTCTTTCCCCAACGCTCCCAGTCATGCCAGGCTCTCAGTCTCCCAGCACTAACTGTTAGTCTCTACTAGCTTCTACCAGGCTTCAGGAGGCGGCTGGAAGAGTAGAAATTGGCCAGGGGAGTTGGTCCGCCTGAGAGTACATTTTGCCGCATCCGAAGCCAAAATGTATTTTCTAGTGGACCAACTCCCCTGGCATGTTATCTCTCTATTTAGCCAATTTCTACTATTTTCTACTCAGCCGCCTCCCGAAGCCTGGTAGAGGCTAAGTCTTTATACATACCCGACTAACTACGCTGGCTATGTAATACGTATAGGGAGAATATTTGCCAGGGGAGTTTGGCCGCTTTGGGGTTTGACTGGCCGCGCTTCGGATGAAAAAAATAACCTTCCGCGGACTTTCTCTCCTGGCCAATTTTACTCTCCTTTTTGCCCAATGCTACGATCCGTATTCCCGTAGGAAGGCCTGGTGGAGGCTAAGTAACTGAAAGGAAGGCAGGGAAAGGACGTGGGGTTGCCTAGCGACCGATTCGTAAACTTTACGGCGGACTAACATTCTCAGACCGTCTACTTTGAACACGACATTAACGCCCGTGCGAAAACTTACTTCTTTTAAGTCCTGAAACGTAAACGAAAAATTCAACTCGCCAAATATTCCACATATCTCACAACAAGCTAGTTCACGATGTTGCAAAAGTGCATATATCCTTTCCAAGTTTTAAATCATTAGAGCACGTGGTTCCCTTGAAATATGTACAGTATAGTAGTCGACTGTAATGTACATACGCGTGCATTGTGTCAACGTTGTAAGTTTTCAGGTATGGACTATACTGTGTCACTATTGTCCAATAATGGTGCTGTCTGAATGTGCTCACTTTTGATCAAAAAGGTCTAAAACATCATATTTAAAGTATCATTAAAGTATCTATAAGTAATATCATTAAGTATTTATAACCGATTACAAACTCTAATATCATTATAAGTTCATTTTATCTTGAGACCCAAAGACTTGATTTCCTCTTCTATCACATAGCATAACTAATTGCAAAAACAAAGTTCCTACCTAAACTGATTAAACAAGCCCACTCATGTCCCCCTCCACAACTCGTATTTCCTTAATCTCTCTCATTTATCTAAATTGTCAATCAAAACATGCTAATTCTCTCCTTTCTTGGAGGAACGCTATCGCCCCTGGCCGTCCAAACACTTGTGTTCTTAGCCCCTCTCCCCGGTAAATAGACATGAGTGTCCCGCTCGCCACCTTGTCGAGTGTACGATTGCTGTTCGGTAAATATTGGCTTTGCTCCGCCCACCAATTAGTGAGAAGGTAGTCTCCAACAGACTCCTGTGGTTGCTGAAATACTAGTAGAAATGTGCTCTCCAAGCTGAGGTTTGGGGTTTGGCTTATTTTTGGCGGGTTTTTAGGCTTTTTTTTAAGACTATAGGGGTTTCTTTTTTTGCACTGGAATTTTTTTACGCTAACATTCCAGTGCAAAAATGAAACCCAGATAAAAAGCCAAAAATAAGCCAAAACACAAACTTGGAGAGTAGTAGAAATGGACTATTTACTAGGGTTTGAATAAATGTACAGAGCAGTTACTCGGTCCGAAGAGTACAAGTAGACAACCAAATTGGCTAACTACTGGCCCTGATTTTTCATACGATTTCTGCTATTTGTAGGACATTGGAAAGGCCTGGTGAAAGCAGTTAGAAAAGCTTGTTCTCTCTTTTCTTGAAGCTTTGATAGCCAGTATGAAGGCTTGTTACTCTACCCTAGGGATGGGCGAACAACGTTGCTGTCTGTATGTAAAAACGTTCGTTGAGGGTTGGACAACTTAGTCGCCTTTTAGAAGGCCGGGTACCAGGCTAAGGCAAATCCCCGATGGCGCCCTGGCTACATTTTTGGCTTGGGTTCGGGGATTGGGAATAAATCTTGGGTAAACCGACCGCACAATGGGTTAGGAAACGGTCAGGACTGTGTTTAGCTCCATCCGACCCGGCCACAGGGAGGGGAGACACCGCTGAAAGGGACGCTTTGTGTCCTTGTCTTCCTCTTTAGAAGGGGACTGAGAGAGATGGGGTGGACAGGGCGAAATTTGCTCGTAAAATAGCGCGAATAGGAAAGACTATGAAAACCCCACACTAGACCTAGCCTCTACCAGGCCTTTGGAAACGGCTGGAAAGAGTATAAATTGGCAAAACTGACAGATTATATGCCAGCGGAGTTGGTCTGCAAAAGAGTACAGTTCGCCGCTCTCTATTAGACCAACTCCCCTGTCATGTTATCTGCCAAAAATGCAATTTCCTTCCAGCCGCTTCCCGAAGCCTGGTAGAGGCTACACTAGACTCAGGCCAGGCAATATTAGTTGTCAGTCAGGCGGTGGAAGATTTTCTTACTGATAGCCGTCGGTATGTATAAATCCCCACCAAGCTTCTTTCTAGGATGAAAAACATTCCAAAAATTCGCCATAATACAAATGTATCTTCTATAGCATGTATATAGCATATAGGCAGTCATGTATACCGTATATTGAAGCACGCAAAAAGTATGGTAAAGGTTATATCTGTACATGGATCTCTGTATCTGCCTACACCTAAACATCAGATCCGACTGGATGCATACAGACAAGCCAGTGTTTTTCCAGGGTGACAGTTACATGTTTGCGTCTCAAACAAAGTACAAGAGACGGCTGTCAACTAATGTGACAGAGCCGAGGGGCCCGTCTCACAACACGTCTTATGCACTAGTATTCCCCGCCTTCTTGTGTCTGGTAAAGAGTTTAGGTACTAAATTGTTTATCTCTCTTGAGAGAAATATGCTTATCCGTAGGCAAGCTTAGAACTTAGGACCCCGGGCACATTTGTCGCACGATAGGCGTGCGACAGTATTACGACAGATTTACGACAGTAAATTGAAGATATTCTTGGGATAGTCGTGAATGTGCGTGCAATATTTATGTTTACCTTCGCAGAAGGAAAACATATTGTTTTTGCTCAGTTTCTTCTTCTGTTCCAAACACATAAGGTCAATGACCTGGACCAGAGGTCTGTCACCATGATAACTAGCATTGTAGCAGACACCGGTGGTGTTGGGTTACATTATGTTGCAAGTTGCAGGACAGTGTCACAACATATATCATGGATGTTTTTGAACACTAATAAACAGAGCAATAGTGTGTTAGGCTAGACCATGTGAGGGTTTGCTTTGCAAATGTTACCTTTCTAGTTCGCTGTTTTGTGACATAAAATTTCGTTAACGTTGTAGATCCTTGTCGACATTTGGATGGATGCGTGGTAGTTGACGATATGTTCTATCTGTTGGCAAACTCAGATAAGAATATGACGTTTTATTTAATTTTTCTCGGTGTTTCTGTCTTTGCTGCAGGCAAAATACGACCAGAGACAAGAGGAGAAGAAGACGACGTTGTTACCGACGATTCACAACAACGCCACCCTGGTGCACAACCACTTCCAGCTCGACGCACAACCCAACGGCCCCACTTCCGCTTCCGGTTACAACCCTGCCTACCTGAACAGCCTGCCCAACTACAGCAGCGGCACCGGAAACAGAAGTACCCCGGGAACGACGAGCACATCCGGTTATGGCGGCAGCCCTTCGGTGATGAGTCAGACGAGAACGTACATGGACGTCTAGCAGGGCCTGTGTAGGGGTACAATGACGTAATGTTAATGGTATGACAAATTTCAAAAGCCAACGGTAGTTACTCTCCAAGCAGAAGTTTGGGGTTTGGCTTATTTTTGCGCGTTTTTAGGCTTTTTTATTGGGCTTTCTTTTTTGCATTGTGTCTTTTTTTGGGGAGGGGGGGGGGCGTAAAAAAGATACCAATGCAAAAAAGAAAGCCCAATAAAAAAGCCTAAAAACATGCAAGAAAAGCCCAAACCTCTGCTTGGAGAGTTAACGGTAGTGTGGTCATTGAGTCAAAGTATGTTGCTAAGATAGAAAACCATCACCGTGAAACCTCTGTGACATGACATGACTAAAATTGCTTTTATTTTATTCTTATTTTCAAATTCATCTTGATTTTACTTACCTCGTGATTAAAATAGTAACATTTCAACTGCAAGTAACGACTTTTGAATGGCAACGTTGCGTCTTTTATTTATTTTATTTTATTTTCCTCGACGTGTAGTAGTAGTTGTTTCTTTTCATCTTGTGTGTTTTATTCTGTTTATTTCTTGTCCATGTGTCGTGTACAGTTTGTAGAGTAAGTGGGAAAATAACGCAAGGAATAATGTGTATAATCTTGGACACCGGTCGAAAAGACAACCATTCAAAATGTGCAAACTACAATAATGGGACTAAGTGCTGCTTCCGATCTGGTATAATGTTTTAATCACATATAGCAATATGCGAAAGCCTCTTTCCTGGTAAATGCAATAATAAAAGAACGTAAGTAACGCAATGCATTGTTAACGTTATGCGGCTGAGCCATAAACTCTACACCGTTTGAAACATACTGTCGCCGCTGTACCACAGTTAAAGGCTCCACTCCAGTAGCGTCGCCAAAAAATCAAAGCACGTACGCGTGTTCAGTCCGTATACCTTCGTATTTCTAACCAATATAAAATTAGCTATTTACGGTACAAAACATGACCTATTGCAGGAAAATAGGAAATATGTGTAAACGCATTGTGCCGAGGTTATGCACTGCGATTTGAACAAAAATTGTGACTTATAATGTAAGAAAAATCGACGATTGCAGAACAAAATCGAACATGTTCTTCCTCGTTACTTGTATAGAAAGAGGTGAAAGAGGCCCTTCCTATGGGTCAGATTTATTTTTGTGTTTAAATTTGTATGATAGCAAACGGTTCTTGTGGCTGAATGAGGAAACTAGTCCACATATCATTGCGGAACAATGGCTAATAATTGAAGTGTACAGACCTGTATAAAATACGACCAAATTGACATTTTATCCGGAGTTGTCAGAATTCTTTGCTGTATGTAAAAACTAGAGGGATAACATGTTGTGTATACTGTAATAGAAATCTTCACCACATGTTTGTATCTGTGCACTTTTATTTCCTCAGACATAAGCTGCTAGCTTTGTCTTTCTTTTAGATTTCGTGTGTTGATGTTGATTTTTCAAATCTTGTGTAGTATATCTTTTTTGTTCGTATGGGGCGTTTTAAAGTGAATCATGCATCAAAACAATACTCAAAAGTTATGTACAGCATGTTTCTTCGAGATTCTGTTGCACCAATTTAAGAAAAGTATAAAGAACATACAACCGAATGTCGTCATGTTGCACATCGTACGAAGACAGCACAAGTTCAGCACATTGACGCTTTGCTTGTTTCAGTTTTTCCCAGAATTGCGCTGTAGTTAATCTACAGAACTGAGAAGTATCTGACATCGACAATTGTAAAATCCATAGGTGTCACTTGCTGTAATTTTTAGCCTCTACTAGGCTTCGGAACTGGCTGTATCCACCACTCCCATTTTTGTTCTGAGCCGCTAATTTCTTGTTTCCTAATTTCACATCTGACCGTACTTGGTAAAAATGAGAAGAATGCTGAGAAACTCCAGAATACAACGTCTGCGTGTCGACTCATTGCACGGGTGAATCCCTGTGTCGCTCCCGTGTCTTACTCCTGGCCGTTTTCCGATGGGAAACTAGATTGGGATCGAATAGAGCTTTGATTATTTATCCCATTTATTTAGTACTGAAAAGTATTGTCTCTAAAAACGTGCTAACTACTTTTACATGGGATAGCTATAGGTAGAAAATTCTATCCCTTTATACTACCAAGAGTTACAGCACTCTAAACAGTCTATTTGGTGAATTAGTGGGGATAGCATCCTGTTATCCCATTAATTTACCAGGAGATTCAGAATTTCTCTATGTGGTGAATTAATGGGATAGCGCCCCGGACAAAATACTGCTTGCAATAATAGGACCACAACGGGTTGTATCCAAAACAGCGGCGTCATTATGTTGATAGAAAAATAATCGGTTTATTTTAGCCAGGTATTGACTTGATTAAGACTTCCTAAACCGATTTTTGTTTTATTGCGAAGGACGTATAAACTCTGTATTTCCCTATTTACGTATGTGTCTAGTTGGTGTACGTAGAATGTTACGGTGTTTCTCTAGCGTTGTCCGCTTTGCCAAGCCATTGTTGAAAAATGTCTCATTCTGTATGAACTGTGACAAAATAGCGGCGTGTGTACAAACATAGCCATTCTGACATGTGTGAAACGCTGTCTGTGTGTTTCTATCGCAACACGCTGTGTTTTTCGTCGCTGCTCGAGGAGTGTCCTAGAAAGGAAAAGCGTGTAAATCGTGACGAGAATGGATCTAAATCGACGCTGAAGTGCCTCTCCACATAATTTAGGCGGGGTAGATGCTGCCCTTAATGGCTCTTATGCAGGGGAAATGGAGGGAATAAGAAGTCTGGAGTGGGGATACGGGGACAATAAATGGTAAACTTGGAACGTAAAGTCGTCGTGTCCGCGTTGGAGACCGTTTTGTTCCCGGCCAGTCGGGCCGAACAACTAGCACGTCACTAGCGGCGAGGAACGGCCACTTCTCCGGCCACTTTTCCGTCTCACCTCGCGGGTAATTTCGTGAAAAGATTTGGAGGACCGATACGGAGTGGGGAGTTATAATAGACACACAAGTTTGTTAGGAGAGTGACGTGAGATCGAGAAGGGGGTGTTGCCAGGGGGGTTGGTATGTAGAGGGGGGTCAGATTACCATTAGGGGGGTGGAACACCTGTGTGAGAAAAACTTCAGCATGCCGTACTCACAGTGAAGAGTCGTGGGTGGGTGGGACTTGGAAAGGTTGTATTTTACAGAGCACTGACCCTTTTTTGTACCGTATTGGCCCGTACGTGCCAAGTACAGGTCAAGATAGAATGAACTAAATAAACTAAAGATACTTGTTCCACGGGCAAAACGTGCTTAATGGTATGTACATTATAGTTATGTTTGGCAGCCAAGTAAAATTACATAATTTTTACGTTAACTTTCTTCTGAATCAAGAGTTAGTAAAACGAGGGAATCGCAAACGACTATTTCGGCGGTGTTGTTTTCGTAAATTTCGAAACCCTGAATTACAGGCAAAAAACGCACTTGAAAAAAAAGACATAAAGAATGTAATGTCACCTCTTATGTCACCCTTAAATTCATAACACTATGTAAATGGCTAATATCCACTGCCATTTATTGTTAATGATAAAAAAAAATCTAACGGAAAATTCAGCGTAGCCTAGACTAGAGAGTCAGGGGAAGCGAAATTTTCTTTCTCCGAATTGCAAGAACAATACACAGTGGAGCAACTAATTCTAACCAAACTTTGTTGAAAAAAATACAATACTTTTTCTGACTCTTTAGAGAAGGAAACGAAAAGACGTCATTCGCACAGTCTAGAACATCGCTATTTCTGCATGGATAAAAATATCTTCTTTCTTTAGTCGGTTTAGCACTGTATCTTGCGCACCACAACAGACGAACATCCTATATATACACCCGGCGTTGTTGGTACATTAGTGTTGTTTCCTTCTCGCCACATTTGTAACGTTTCCCCCGTCCGCATACCCCGGCGTCACCGCGTGTTGTGCCGGCCGCTCGCCTCGCCACACGCCATTAGACCACCGACAACATTCTCACTCCGGCCCGTTGGTTTTACATGTTTACCGTGCCCGATAGCAAGACAACTAAGTCCGACGATCTTTTTTTACATGCTGAAAACACTACAGCATTTTTTAATCTTTTCCTTTTCCGTCAGAATTTTTCGGAAAATTTTCCAACAAAAAGTATCAACTCCTAGTCAAGAAACGCTAGAAAAAGTCAAACTATAGCGACTTTAGAAACTCAAAAGATGGTCCCAACTGAACTAGGTCCCCCGCCCCATAACATATCGTCCTCTTCACCATATTTGTTTGGCTATGTTGGAACATGTCAACACAGTGTCGTCGCTATCATTGCCCGTTGTTTCAGTGCGGTGTCGTGTTCTGTCGACAAATAGGGCGGGAGTGTCGACAAGTGTGCAAATGTGTGGGGAAGTAACAGTACCTCCAACGATACAGTCATGCTCCTGGTTTTAAAAAGAAGTCAAAATTTTCGTATATACGTCTTTTTTTTCGTAAATGTCGTACGTTGAGGAAGGAATGATAGTTTTTCTTGTTGCTGTGTTCTAGAGTGAGTCGAGCCCACCGACGGCTGCCCGCCCCTGCCTTCTCCCTTAATCGCTAATTGTTGGTAATTGATTGTCCGTTTGCGTTTGCTTGTTGTTACAGCGCACAAAGATAACCAATAACGTTCGCGTGCGATCCTGGCGGAGAAAAATCCCAGCGCTTCCGTCTGTGACATTGGGGTGGAAACGATCAGATATCACCCCGGCATTTTTTTTACCTGAGAGAAGAAAAAATTAAGCTAAGCGGTGATGCGCTTAATGTGCGGGGTGTAAGTGATACGGCTTGGGAAGCTTTGGTTGGAGGCTGAGGTCGAACAATGAGTGCACAGTGGGTGGGCACAATAGGCCAGGGCTTCTCATGACGCTTGAGATCCCTCTCACAACGAGCTGGCGCCAGATTTGCTCCCGGCTCCAGGTCGGACCGGGTATAAAGCACGCGGGAAGTGCCCTGGCGGATCGCATTATCACGTACCTGTGCCGCGGGACCGTTACCTGTCCCGTACTCCTCACCTGTACCTGTGCGTGTGTGTGGAGAGGGACTTCACCTGTCTCGTTGAGAAGAATCAGACCGTCAACACTCTGACTGGGGGAAAACACTACAAAGCCACGTTGTGGTCCAACAGAGAG